AGAGAGAGAGAGAGAGAGAGAGAGAGAGAGAGAGAGAGAGAGAGAGAGAAGGAAGAGAAACAGAGCACTCTTAAGAGAAAAGAAAGACAGTGAATCATCAGATCTCTATTAAATGACATTTTACAGAGGGGCGACTAAAGGGAAGAAAGACGGGAAATAGAGATAGCGAGAAAAGATATGGGGGGATACTGACGATTCGACATACCGTCTTTTGTTTTCTTCCTACGACGTCCTCCTTCGCCAATATCCGACCTCGATTTGCATGCACCTCTCTTTTCCGCTCTCTGTAGGATGTGCTGGTGATTAATGTGGTTTCCATGGACGCCCGGCGGCGACGAAATTGCTGATGGATAAGGTGACGCCGACGGCAGTGACGATGACAATGATGCCGTCATGAACGCCGAGCTGTGTAGAGAACTTGGCACCGATGACGTATTCGTCATGGGCGTCGCTCCATTCGACAACATCACGTGTGGTTGATAAGAGAAAAGGTTTCGATGATCTATAAAAATAATAAATGCGTCAATATAACACTATACTGCGTGCGGGCGTATGAGCGTGCGCGCGAGTATGCATGTCCGTGTGCCCCTGCATGCGCGCGTGTGTGTATGTGTGCGCGCGCCGTTAACATATTTAACATGGAAACAATCTACACTGTTAGAAATAATATATTCACGCGTCAAGATATCGTACAGCATCATATATCTGTCCATAAACATTATGAACCATTCCTTCAAATATTTGGACAATTATAATATGTTAACGTTATTCAGCTATCCCCTCGGTAGACACATGTATTAAGCGGTGATGCGGAAAAGCCGTAAGTATATTTTATTTTATTCACGTAAACCTTGCCCGAGAGAATCCCAAATGAATAACGAATTCGACGATAACGTCTATATAGTAGAACCATTTGGTCAAGAGCTAATAATTAATATAGGTATTATTAGCTCTTGATTTGGTGTATGTGCAGAGATCGTGTGCTTTTGCTCGTTGCGACAAGCGAATGTTGAGAGCCAGGGAGTGAAAGAGCGGCAGCGAGCGACGGAGAAGGGGTGAGAGGTGAGGGTGAGGGAGCGGGGGGAGATCGAGAACAAAATTCCCTCAGCTCCACAACACAGCCACACGAAACGAGAACCGGTAGTTGCGAGGCTCGCGACGATAACTGATTGGCTTTATGTCCCGGGGGTTGTTCAACTTCTAGCAGTGTTTGTTTGCGCGACGAGACGGGAACCGCGCATCCGCTCTTTCTCGCGACGCTTGGGAGCGCGCGCATGAATTCCGGCTCGCCAGTTGCGGCGCTGTTCCAGTCTAACTAAATGGACTAGGAACTAGTAAAAGTGAACGTCCTGCACGCAAACAGGTCCATTAAGCAATGGAAGCAGGAAGCGACGAGCCGTGCATGAGCAGTCACAATAAAGACCGAGAGCGAAAGTGGAAAAAATGGGTCTTTGTGTCTATATGTATAGATAGATACGTGTGTGTGTGTGTGGCGGTGGGGTGTGTGTGTGTGTGTGTGGGTGGGGGAGGGGGGGATATAAGGGAGTGTGTGAGCGTGCGTGGTGAGAGGGTATATGTGTGGGTTGAAGTGAGCGTGTGTGG